GTAAACCACATCCAGCTTTGATCAACGGATATGTAGCGTCCGGTTTTGACGAAGTGAGACGTGTTTTCAGGTAACATTTGTGCCAAATGAGCGGCATTAACATATCAAATTTATAACACTCATACAAGGGTCAACAGTTGTGTGTATGACTTAGAGTTCAGTGGCTATACAATGATGACTATGGGAAGACCTTTAGAAATGACGTCACATTTAAATTACATTTAAACGTGTAAAAAGCACCCAGTCGGATGTTATGATTAGCTTGTCTGGGACCAGCTGAGACACGCAGGTTAGGCGATTTGTTGAATTTCAATCAACCTCACTCCATTCTCTTGACCAATGTGACAATATCACCGATACCACAGCCTTAAAAGTAAGTAATTTATTCGCAGAGACCTGCATGAAAATGGTTTAGAAGCGGGGTCGACATTTGCTGTATATTACAAAGGTGAAAAAGTAGTTGACCTATGGGGTGGATATGCAAATTATGAAGCACGTGATCCGTGGCTTGAAGACACGATGTCGACAGTTTACTCAACAACTAAATCAGTGGCGGCTATATGCGTTGCTATGGCAGTAGATCGTGGCTATTTGGATTATGATCAGAAAGTGTCTCACTATTGGCCAGATTTTGCACAGAATGGAAAGGAAGATATAACATTGAAACAACTTGTTAACCACGAGGTAAGCTCAGTAAACGGTTTTCAGTGATATATTTGAGAGCACAGCCACTCACTTTCCTAGTACAGTGACTGTGTTGAGAGAGAGAAAAATCATTCGAAATTTGAACTCACGGTTTCAAACAGTCCACGCCCATTTTACTTCCTACTCTTCGTGATCACATCATTATTACAATCACTTTTTTTGATCAGTCTCATATCAAGTATAATTAATACAATCATTTATATAAACTGTATCAGCAGTGTTTGTGAATGATGATAAGTTTAAAAGTATAAATAATTTCGCTCTTCCGTCACTTCGACTGGACATTGTGAAATATATGAGTGAGGAAATTAAATTATACAAATAATTCATGATACGATGAATGGGTAGAATTGATTGTAGAAATACTGTACATTTATTTTCGTCACTCAGTGATGATATTTTGATCAATATGATCAATTATACAAATAATTCATGATACGATGAATGGGTAGAATTGATTGTAGAAATACTGTACATTTATTTTCTTCACTCAGTGATGATATTTTGATCAATATGATCAATTATACAAATAATTCATGATACGATGAATGGGTAGAATTGATTGTAGAAATACTGTACATTTATTTTCGTCACTCAGTGATGATATTTTGATCAATATGATCAATTATACAAATAATTCATGATACGATGAATGGGTAGAATTGATTGTAGAAATACTGTACATTTATTTTCTTCACTCAGTGATGATATTTTGATCAACATGATGTTGCTGTTAACTGTTTGTGTTTCTTAATAAGTAGGTTTTTAGCAAACAAATCTACCATCTCCAATACAATTGTGTAATTGTCAGTTAAATAAAGATGGAGGCCACTCAAACACTTTCCACACGCAAGAATGTTAACCTGTTCCCTGCAATGGCTATCTAAAGACGGGAGAGAAAAACTACTAGTATATACTAGAAATATTTCTTGAATTATTAACCAAAATTTAATTTTGACTATTTCACAATTCAATGATTGATTGATCGATCGATTGATTGATTGATTGATTAATTGGCTGAACTTCGAAAATTGAAATATATATTGTATCACGTTAAATATTTTAAATTGTAGGCGGGACTTGCAGTTCCATACGTACACCCGGATATTACAACAGTAAGAGACACTGACAAACTATTCAAACTATTAGCTAAGACAACACCTACATGGGAGCCCGGAACAGCACATGGCTACCACGCCATCACGTATGGCTGGTTTTTAAGTGGTGTATTGCGACATGCAGACCCAAAACATAGAACTATTGGACAGTTTTTCAAGGAAGAAGTGGCAGATGTATTTGGCAAGTACACACTAAACATTGTAGTGTTGATTTGCATGTACTCAGAAAAACTTAGGCCCAAATGATCGGCGAAATTGTGTTAAGAGCGATTGAACCACATACATGATGTTTTAAATTCTTGGAAGAAAGTCAGTTGGGACTTCTCCATCGTATCTTCGAAATTTGACAATTGAAAATAATATAATTTTCTATTTTGCACTCCTTTCTATGGTGAAAGTATTGCATTGTATTTCAGAGTTTGTCTTCGACGGAGTTGGTGACATATGCTGAAAAGATCCTACATTGTTATAAAATTGGTATATTTTGCAATATATTGAACTCCCAATAAATAAAAGGATATTTAGTTATTCACTAGACTATTTCCATGGAGAATGATGGTTGTATTGTAGTGGCGGCTGGCGGCCATTCTGTCAGAACTAAAGAGTTTTTACCATTGGTTCCTATGATGGAGTTATGATGCCGTAGTGACATTTGGTTAAAAAGTTATATATCGTGACTAATGGAGTAGTTTTTGTTATCCTGAATTATTTAAAAAAGCAGGAATTATTGAACAAAGCAGGGTTTTCAAAAGTGACAAAAATGCAATTTTGCTTTAACATTGTGTTCCATGAAAATGCCCCGCCTAAATTATTTGAATAATATTTTGTCACTACCTTAAGATTACTACCTTAATCCTAAATTTAAAAAGTGATTTTCAACATGACAAAACGTTCCCATTCTACACATATCCTGATAGCAGTTCATTGTGACTCAATATAAAAGCAACGGGCGCTGTCTTGTCGTGTACGTCTAATCACAGAAAGTCACTAATGCCGAATTGCGAGCAATATTTAGTAATCACCCTAAGAATGTATTCTAAATATGCATACATATGTATCGGCTCTAGCAGCACTAATCTATTTACCGCTAACTGCGCTTGGTGCAAAGTCAAGTGCACGCTGGGTCGAGTTGGAACTGTAAAGGCAATTATTATTCGCTGGTTTTTAATTACGCTATTTTCCTCGATATGTAAATCCGCTAAATAAAATCCACGTGGACATGTAAAATAACAATAGAACTCATTGTTTCCCTGCAAAGTTCGTGAACTTAAAACCCAGTGGATTTACTCGAAGCCGCGATTGGGCAGTCTAAAAGTTCTACGATAATTGTTTGCCAATGATATGTAACTAATACGTGGGCATGCTTTCGTTCAGACTATTGGTAACTTGATGATTTGGATTTGTAAACGTACTTGATCAATTCACCAGTCACAATGTCACTTGTTTTTTTTTTTTATATATAGGTATTGATTTTTACATCGGGTTACCCAAAGAGGAGTATTACAGAGTAGCAAGATTGCAACATCCCGGTATGCCGGCGTTTATGAAGCAAATATTCAACTCAAAATATAGACTCGTAATGCAAGATCTCATCTTTAGACCTAATAGTCTGAGTAATAGGGCGTTCATATACACCGATCTCTTCGGACCAGTAAGTATGTGACGTGACTTCCCTACGAGATATAGTGGATCGTGTAACAACTTTGCAACTACACGCGTGATATAACATTTAGACCGTTGTTGTAATTGTAGCTCGAAATACCGACAATTAATTAGGTGTGGTTATGTTTCAAGGGATACCCACACTGTTCACTGGAGTTTGTTATAGCTGAAAAATGATGGGTCGCATTTTCGTCGCTATGGAAACTCATTTGATATACCACGTGACGAAACACGTAGCTGGCTCATATATAATTTAAATCAACAGCATGCCACGCCTATTAGCCAATCGGTGTCGCGATCACTTATTTACTACAGGAGAAAGATTAGCAGCAATTTAAGAAATTACATTTCATAATACCTTCTAATTATTTAATACTGTCGACACAACAAACTAGTTTCCTTAAGTTTTAAAAATAGTTATAAATTTCAATAGCAGTTAAATCCAACCAGCCAATCAGCGAGCGTGGTGCGCCATGACGTCATTTAACATTATTCCATAGACCAATAGAAACCTGTCTGTTCAGTATGAATTGTGCAGTTTATAAATATTTATAAAAATCAAGGAAATGAATTTGGTCGTTTCGACAGTACTACATTGTTTGTCGTATATTGCAAACACTTTTCTTGTTTCGCAGGATGAACGGCAAAATACGTACTCATTACAGTCATTAGAAATCCCATCAGCTACAGGTATTGGTACAGCCAGGGCATTGGCTAAATTATATGCTATATTGAATAACGGAGGTGAGTGGGAAGGAAAACGATTGCTATCAAGTGAACTCGTCAAGAAATTCACCGAATGTAATGAGTATAGGGTAGATGAAATATTGCATACTAAGAGGGACTACTGCCATGGTATGACAAGTAAACAACCTGTAAGTATGTTTTCTTGTAGTTCAGTTTCAGCTTTTATTTATTTATTTATTTATTTATTTATTTATTTATTTATTTATTTATTTATTTATTTATTTATTTATTTATTTATTTATTTATTTGTTTGTTTATTTATTTATTTATTTATTTATTTATTTATTTATTTATTTATGTATTTATTTAATTATTTATTTATTTATTTATTTATTTATGTTTGTGGGAATTTCACTCAATAACAAAAGTTTTCAACTTATTATAACGTAAGATTTATTTATTTATTTGTATTTACTTATTTGCAGTACGAGTCATTCCGCGTATTCGGGCACGAAGGTCACGGAGGTCAAGGAGCCTATTTCGATCCATTTACAAACTTATCATTAGCATACACCACGACAAAGCTATCCGCATATGGTATGGGTGATGATGCACGATATTTAGCACTTGTGAAATCAACATATGATAGCATTAAGAATATGGAAAAAGAGAAAATAAAAAAATAATTAATTCGCTTTTATCAAACCGCGGCCATTGCTGCCCTAATTTGCATTTTAAGCCTCGCTTTCAGTCAACTGCAACTATACGTTACGCCACAGATGCGTGTCGATGGTCAGAAATGGCCGTGGCGAAATAAAAATGAATTGAAACTTTTTTATTCCAACACGTGATTAGCTTCTATACCCGGAGCTATAGGGTGGTTTCATTCACCCGTCTGGGATCAAAAAGTATTATGATGTTATTATGTACCTATATGTCGGAATTTCAGATCAGAAGCTTTTATGTGAACTTCTTAGTAAGTTACAACTTAAAAATATAATCTCGGCCGTTTTATACTGGGCATTTCAGAGGCGGCGGCACGAAATTTTGCATGGGGGCGAGATCTACTCACCAACCTCGCGCCGACGGCACTAGAAGGGTCAGGGCCATGCTCCCCCTTAACAATTTTGAAATCTAGACCCTCTGAAACGCTATTTCCTGAATTTTGAGGGGCAAATTTTGCTGACACAAAGGGTTTCAGCTTGATTTTGAAGTGGTGACGCTCCCCAACATTTTTTTTAGGGGCGACCCCCCCCCCCGTGCCGCCGCCACCTCATTTAAAGATAGTATTTTGTAAAAAAAAAAAAAAAAAAAAAAAGTGATAGATTACAGTACAACTGACTGAATACCTATCATAACTGTTGAAAATAATTTATATATGTTATTATAAGTAGATAGTCTGAATTCAGCCATCTGATTGGCTCGAGCAAGTTCTTGTATCTGGCACTAGAAAACCTGTGATCTTGCCCCAAATCTGAATAAAGTCCCTTAAATATCTAACTGAATCGAGATCACATGACTGTTAGCACAGTTCGTAGTGATTGTGGGTTTATGATCAACTGATCAAAAATGGAGAAACCTAGTACAAGAACTAATACTATTCATTTGTTATTGCCAAATAATAGTAATATATAGCATGTGACGAGAAAACTCCCAGTGAGAAACGTGCATATTCATTGCAGCATAGCGTTCGAAACGAACACGTGAGGACAGTGATAAACGTGCACATTCATTGCATCATAGCGTTCGAAACGAACACCTGAGGAAATGCAAAGAATCATAACTAAAACATTACATTTTGGTTTTGTTTATGTGCGAAACTAGTGTAATAAGTTATATCTGCCGCAAGTTCGTTGCAATAAACTAGAATTGTTGTCGATGTTGTCATGCGCCCCGCCCATCCAAGCGTATGCGCTATGGGGTGGGTTTAAAGCGGCAATAGTTGTGATTTTGTAGATTTCTGATGATCGAGTCGTGGCTATTTTGTTGAAATCGGTCACGTGATAGAGAGCGTAGAAAATGGAACGCAGGACGCACACAATTATAAGAAAAAATAACACACATTATTGTCAGTAAGAATCTTTCAGAGAGAGGCTTAGCCTTTCAAGATGGCAACGTATTTGACATTTTTCCAGGGTTATCGGTAAGTTGTCTTTATGTGATCTTGACAAAACTTGATGTCAATGGCGCCATCTGGAGACCTGGACGCAAAACCGCGGCCATTTTGTTTTACTTTTATTTAATGTACGGTATAGCGCCCACATTCGGCGGTAGCCGTTACAAACCCACACCAATGACACAGGAAATGTATTATTTAAAATAAAATTCGGAGAAAAAATATCAGTAGTCCCTTTATGCTCTGCAATTTGAATACTGAATATAGAAGGCACACGACACGACGGGTAAATTTTGCCCCTCAAAATGTAATAGAATGCCAGTTTAACGCAATGCAGTGACGGTGTATTTATTGTGCCTGTTATAATGAGTGTATAAGTGATACGTTCGAGTTTCTTGGCATATTCGGCTTTTGGGCGCTACCAATTACTCTTGTCATTTATAACCTGAAGTGTTTTCCCAACTATATTTACATTGCATATCAACTTTCTATGCGATTCATGAGAAGATAAGAACACGATACAACGGTCCTATTTCAGTAATTGTAACTAGTCAGTTAGCAGTCACAACACAACAGCTACCCACCACTTCAGAAAGGAACTGACAGTATCGTCCGTTTATGGAGGGACTGTGGTTTTAATTACGACTCGTCCTCGATTTTATAAGGTTGCGCCCTCTATGTCAGAGTTCCGATATCAAAGTAAAAATACATCATGTTATTCTAACAATAATAATTCAAATAAATAAATAAATAAATAAATAAGGCCCTTCACTTCACTCCTCCAATAAATTTGTTAATATGCATTTATTTGTGTTATTACATTTTTCATAGCTTTATCAGAGGCGATACCGACACTCAGGCTGTGTAAGTGAACGTCACTGAAAGTTTTCTCCAGCACTTATATCCAACCATATTTTCTCAAATAAAAATTTGATTAGTGCGAAATACTGACAACTTTACAAATCTTCCCTGAATCCGTCCCTCCTCTCTTGCTACAATTTTATATGTAGACGCAGGTTACTGCGTGCGCCATGAACCCTCCGACCCCGAACGAGGTTGTTGACGTCATAATTTGACAACCACTCCGCATGTCAGAAATCTATCCATGCTATTCTGTCCTTATAAAATAGATTTAGTACTCGGATTACATATACTGCTCAAAATAGAAATGTAGATATAATGTACATGTGTATTCATCGCTTAAATCACCCACTTCTAATAACCATGGCTTAGTTGGCTGCACAAATTCTTGTTAGCGAGAGACAACATTTGTATCGGTCAAAATTCTACTGGGGCCTAAAGATGTGCCTCACACGCGCGGTAATGTTAGTCACCTTTCGTTCTCAGTTATTGGCTAGATCTGTTTGTGTTATAATTGAACGTTATTTGTTGTCCATGGTAGAATTACAATCACAGCCGACAAAAAAGACACCCTTTGCATAAGAGCTTACTATCGATTAAAGGGCGATGGTCGTCGCCCTGCGCATGTGCGACATTTGTGTTGATAAACATCGATTTTCCCGCAATCCAATGCGCTCCTCTAATAAAAATCACAAGTGTGAGGTTTGACCTGGGAGACTTGCACCAATTACCACTGGTGCATATCGCGTGACTTATAACCTGAATACCAGACCGTACACTATACCACAGGGACTGTGATTATACTTGAGGTTCAGGCCTAATATGGTGGGGGAGCCAGCTAGATCAATATTTGCATAAGGTGGCGACGCTGTATTAACAATTACCATGTCCATTAGTATATGATTTACCCAGTCGCCCAGCCCGAGCAATAAGATCATTGATCTACCACATGAACATTAGTATTTTCATACAGATTTTGATAATTTTGCTGTAAACATTTTTTTCTCCAATTCTAGTCTAACCACCGCAATGATGCGAACGTAATCCAGTAAAGAATCGTGCATTGTTTATGTAATTTCTATAAATAAATATGGACCTCTCCACTGGACGAATTAAACAACATATTTCGGAAGTAATTTCTGGCTAAGACAAAACTGGTATTTTTTATTTCTCTGCAGCTCAGAATATCTTCAATGTTTGTAGCACCGTTATGCTGGAGCTTTCAAGTTGAAAATACATGTGTATTCGCTGCGAAGCGCCCTCATCTACGTCGGTGTTTTGAATTTATGTTGTTAGTGAACATAAAAACAATACGTCAATTCAAATTCAAAATGTCAAACAAAATTATGCAAACTTATTTTAAGTTAAAATTAATAGTTTTTGGTGAAAATTCCATAGATTTCAAACATTTATATTCAATAAAAAATCGAGAATGCTGTGAATATGTTTTGACAGACGAGTTCAGATTCATTTAATATCATTCTAAGCATGGGACATTTTCACTATCTATTGTAAGAATAGATACACAATGGGGAAGTTGACCGCGTCGTGATTTTGACGAGTCACGTGCTTTCAGGTAAATTTACATACTGTAAATGCATTAATTATTCACTGGGTTTTAATTTCTCTATTTTCGCCGATAGGTAAAACCCGATAATTAAATCTACATGAACATGGAAAATAATAATAAAACTCGTTGTTTTCTAGACAAATTCGTAAAATTAAAACACAGTGAATATGCTAAAAATACCAAAATAGTGAAATTAAAATGTCAGTGAAAATAAATGGTTTTACAATATTATGGGTGCTGCAATATATTTTCCAAACAATGAAAATATCTACGTCATCCATACACGTCAACACTGCGTCACGTGGGGCGTGAACGTATGGCTCTTTACAGATTCACAGGCACGGGCAAAATATGTAGGTCACCGACAATCATAATTCTTGAAATTAATCGTTATCGTGCATTGACAGTTTACCTATACAGTACCCTGTGACATTCAGATAAAACACGGCAAGGGATTGACCATTGAATTCATGGGGGTGGTTGAAAAATTGTACTAGAAAAAGATTTCCGAGAGGGAAGAAATACATGTATTGCAGAAACAAAATGTCGGCACATTCGAGAAAAATTAAAATATACAGACACGTCGTGCCAAAAAAATGCACAGGTTACACTCTTCCAGTCACGCCCATGGGAATGATTTAAATAGCCAACCATGAAACCTTAGTAAGCAATAAATAGTCGTCGTGTTTCCCTTGCAGTATTCAAATGTATATCACATACCGCGTTTATTATATAGTCAATCAGTGCGTGTGTTTGAAAGTATTGCCATAATAACGTACCAGAGAATGCGTTACGAGTGGCAAGCTTTGATGTTGCTCTCATTTGATTCTGTGTGAATAAACAATCAATACATGATCAATACGCCATAGGCGCTCGTAGGGCGTCGAGGTTTAATAATAATGAAGTTAGGCAGTCTGGTTTAAGCGAATACCCCTTATCTGTGATATGAACGGAATGTTAACGTGTGTGTCTCCGTGATTGGTGTGCGGTATAGTACACAACACGTTTTCCCCACAGCGACTGACTCGTGTACAGAGATGCATTTACCAAGTGCTGGCTTTATATTAGTGTGCGTGTTTATTGCGTTGGAAGTCCCGTATATGCTACAAACAACGTATCCTGTCCGCACAGATGGGAAGGTCGACAAATGGTTCGACGAGGTTGCTCGGGTATTTAGGTGAGTGTCCATTGGTCTAAACACCGTGACACTGCCACATTTCGCCGGCGATACATCTACTCGATCTCGCCTGAAGGTGGAATCCTTTTTCACTTCGGTCGCGGTTACTAAAAAAGAGCTTTTTTTTAACCGTGCTTCGGTGTACTGTTCAATCCGACATAGATTTGGATGAAAAAGACACGCCCGAGCGATTGTTGTCGTAATCATTCATGTGAGTTCAGGTCAGGCTTATATGCAAATTGGGTGGGTGTAAACAAATAGCTGAATGACCCTAGAACCACGCATTGTCGTTAACAGTGCGTGGTCTCACTTGTTGCCCTGTTCTATATTATACTGTTGGTGCATGCCGCAACCTCCCAGACTGTATGAACTTCATTAAATGTATGTGGTCATGACCCGTTTCATTGCCACTGCACCTTTTGTCAACACCATAGCTGCGACAAAACATTGTGGTGAAAAATGGGACTAAACTCGCACACTTTTAAACGTACGCTGATGTTCCAAGTCATCGTGCAGCTAGGTGTACACGTATAATTTGGTATCTCCATGGCAACCAAATATTTCTACAACTCTTCTCGCTCAATAAAGCGGAACCAACAATCAGATATTTACCGCGGACAAACGCTGTAAACAATAAAATTCGATCGTATATCTTGGTTAATAAAAGGCCACCTGCCATTATTGAACCACGTTCATGTTACATTACTTGAGAAAAGTGAAACGTGTCTCAAAAAGGTCAAAGTTAATCAACACTGTTTTGATTTTGTGAATTGTATATATTCATGGGCCTACAGACAGAGTTTCCAGTCGAGTGAGAGGTTAGAAAACATGACGATCACTGCCCATGTGTGATTACCTTTTCGGATTTCCCACCGATCGCGTCAAACACGTGGTTTAAGCAGATAAGAAAGACAATTAAGTGATCAGCAAAAACAAAAGATTTTATAACGGGCGGTGGTGTCGCGCCGCGCATGTGCGACATTTGTGTTCATGAACCTTAATTTTCCCGCAATTCAATGCGCTCTTCTAATAGAAAATATGAGTTTTGAACTGGGCTCGACGTGTACAAAATACCGTCGGTGACTATTTCAATACTTCCTAATCGCCTAAAAAAATATATCCAGTTAAAGCTTGGTAACGTCTCAGTTCGACTCGGTAATATGCGCAACAGTCAAAGTCGCCGTCTTTGTTTATATGAGTCCCATATCACGCGCATGCATGGCGCAACGACCACCGCCCTTTAATCTTTTTAATCTCAGCTGTTCATCCTGGGCTTTGGTATAATTGTCTGAACATAACGCATTCAGCAAAGCACGTAATTATTGACCGGGATTTCTCAATTATTTCTGTAAACATACGTAACACCGTGTGTCACGTACGTGCGTCGATGTTTACTATCTGCGACACCATTGTAACTAGATACGTATAATATATACTATTGTCAGTATGTTGGCATGGTTGGATCAGTTAACATTTGTGCGACATTTGTGTTAATAAACATTGATTTTCCCACAATCCAATGCGCTCTTTTAATGGAAATCACAAGTATGAGGTTTGATATTGGCGCGACTTGCACTTATTACCGCCGGCGACTCCTTCGACACCTTGCAATTGCCTAAACAATATTTAAATAAAGCTTGGTAACGTCTCAGTTTTTACTCGTTGATCTGCTCAACAGTCAAAGTCGCCGTCTTTGTTTATATTAGACCAAAATATATCGCGCATGCGTGGCGCGACGACTAAACTTTGGTACTGTATCATTCAAAAAAAAAATATCGCATTTATCAGCGGGTGTTATGTGGGTTAACAATATGAAAGGGAAATTGCTTGTTTTGTTCTAATAGGTTGGCATACTATGATCTTGGTGCTATTGCTGCTGTAGTTGTACGTACGCAGTGAATCTATTGGCCGAGTTTTTGTTGCCCTGCGATGGACATTTGTAAAATAAAATTAAAATAAATTATAACTTTGAGTAAAAATGAAAAAAGATTCCGTGTTGTAGCCACGCCCGTTCCTTCCGAAGTGAAACTGCGCCTCCAAACGTAAGGCAAAAAGAGGAATCCATGCAAGTACCACGCACTAAATGGTGGAGCTACAAACTAATGTGACCGATGTAACCCGATTGACCCCGAAAGTCCAAAATAACAATCAAAATAATCATTCGCAACCCGGCAATTATTATACGTCAACAAAAATGAAGTCGCCACAACAACTGTGGCGCATTAGCCCTGGCAAAGATATATGACAATTGGTTTGTCCATTTCAGGGAGATCCACGAAGAAGGACTAGATTCAGGATCAGCATTTGCTGTGTATTACAAAGGCAATAAAGTAGTCGACTTATGGGGTGGATATGAAAATGTAGAGACTGGAAAACAATGGAAGCAAAACACGATGTCAATGACATTCTCCGTCACCAAAGCTATGGTTGCGTTGTGCATGGCCGTAGCGGTCGATCGTGGCTATGCCGATTACAATCAAAGAGTGGCGCATTACTGGCCGGAATTTTCGCAACAAGGGAAAGGCAATATTACTATAAAACATGTACTCAATCACGAGGTATGTTAATATTTTTATTGCAGAAAGTTTGGTGTTTAACGCCCCCCCCCCATTGAAGTTCCACAATTTGGCGGCCATTTTATTGCCACATATCAGAGCAACACGTACGTTATCACTGGAAAAGCGGGAATCAATGGACATGACGCAAGTGACCGATGGGACATCATCCGTCGGTGAGTGCGAAAGAGCCACGAAACTTGTTTTTCCTCCACAAGTCGTGTTCCATTTTTTGAATCATACATCGAAAGTCCCTGGCATATGTAATCATGGCATTTGGAACAGTGGACCGATGAGGGTCGAGGGTCAAAAACAAGTCTCGTTGTTCTCTAGTTCTCAACGAGATCTCGTCAGCCATTGCGAATATTTTTAATTGATTACGCTACGAAAGTTTTCTATTGATAATTGAATTATCGTTGATTAATAAGGGTAGTAAATGGTAAAGTTGGTAAACTTGCTTCTTTTTAAAAAATTCAAAATTTAGTAAGGTCATCGGACGTTGTATATAAGAAACTATTGTCTTTGATTGAATAGATATGTTGTACACTGAGAAAAGCTGACATAATCAAGCCAAAGTCAAATATGACAGCACTTAGTCTACCATTCACTAATATCACGACCCTAAAATCTATAATTTGGGTGTAATATCAAATAGTTAAAAGGGAGAAGTGGTCTGGATTTTGACACTCCGTACATGAAATTTGAGTACATAACATATTGTTTTTATCGTCAGAATTCATTCATAGATCTCAAATGTGATGTACAATTTATTATTTATATATGTTTTTATTTATATGATTCATACGTTTTATTTTTATAGGCTGGAATTCCAATGACGACTGAACGTATGACCTTTGACATCGCTAAAGACCATTCACACTTGGCACATATATTGGAAACAGCAAAACCTATGTGGCCTGCGGGCACATCAAGTGGGTTCCATTTTCTTACTTATGGTTGGCTTGTTGACCAGGTGATCCGTCGCGTGGACCCAATGCACCGTAGTCTTGGACAGTTCTTCCATCAAGAGATTGCACAGCCGTTTGGTGAGTATAAATGTTCTTGTGTTTCAAGTAATGCAAACAATATTCTGATCTACTTATTCATATGGTTATTCTTCTTCCCGCCAGATATTGATTTTTATATAGGTGTGCCAGTAAATCTCCATCAACACGTCGCTGACTTACAGAGTACGAACACCTTCGAACTGTTTTCTTTGCATCCATTGCTTCAGTCGCTATGGTCACGGACGTGGAAATCACTGAGATACGAGGATATGGCATCGCAAACAATTATTAAAGGAGGCGACATAACTTGGACGGTAAGATTATAAATGTGGAAATAATGTTATTCCAGACCAATCATAGAGCAGCTTTCTTGATGACAGGGTTTTTCGACCTATGGAATTCTGCTTAGTTTGTATATATGCTTCGATTGAACTGCAATATACCAGTAATGTTTGTACTTATAGCCAACTTTACCAAACGTAAATAATTTTGGTGACGAATACAAAGATAGACATTCGTTTACTGTGGACGCGTGAATGAAAGGAACACGCAATTGCCGACATCGTCAGCAAACTTACTAACGAATCGCCTGTGTTGATGTCTGGAATTCATTATCAATTTGAAACACATTGGGCCACCCCATTCTCAAAAGGAGGCAATGGTATTTACTTTATGCTACATTTTCGTATTTTTTCTCATTTTGCGCTATTTTAAAAGTTATAAATTAAACAAGTACAATTACAACAACGATACAAATTATTATGGAAAATTCATATACCGATCATGCTCCTTTGTAAAAGTATCTTGGCCTCCTATTAAAAATGGGATGGCCTAATCTGATAACGATCTCCAGACACCAGTTTGAATCAGCACAGGCGATTCGTTGGCAAGTTTGCTGGCGATGTTGGTGATTAGGTGCTCCTTTCATTCACGCGCTTACAGTAAACTGAAAGAAACTAATCTTGATTTGATATATGTACATCTTATCTGTACATGTATCAACATAATCACACGGTCAAGTTCAAAGGTTGTCTGTGCAATGCCATTTATATTCGTACATGATACGTGTTGATATTATTTTGATCCTATTACTAATATGTAAATGTCGCCAGGACTTGGAGCTGAAGGCATGCGTTTACCAATTAACAGTGTAATGTTCCAAGTGACAATATATCTTTCAACAAATGCAGTATTGATCAAAGCATGTCTACTACTGTCGTTGGGTGCTGCCGAGGTGCATAAGATTATAAGGTTATTGCGAGGATATCGAAAAGTATGCACGAAGACAGTACAGCGGAAGTATTGACCGACGCGCAGCGGAGGTCAATGCGACGGCGTACTGTCTGAGTATCCTCGTAATAACCTTAGTACTAGTATTATACATCTTTTCCTTCTAATCCAAAAAGTTTAGAACAGAATCAGCGAACTTCTTTGTGTAGAGTCTGGTCAAACTCTGGTGACAGCTATGTTTGTTTTTATTATAGAGGACGCTTACGCATGTAATTATTTCATTCGCATTATCCAGTGCAATACGGCAAAATTAGGGCACGCGTAACTTGGTTTTACGGTGACAGATGTATAATAATATAATTTAACATGACCTAAAATCGGCATGTTTGCATCATACAGTGAGTAATCGTTCGATGAACAATGACAGTTTCAAATACACATGTACTCGAGGTTGGTTAAGTGGTGAGCACAATTTAGTGAGCAAATCAGATGAAAAATAAATACTTGTTGTAAACTGTGAGCTATATTTCCATTGAAACAAATTAAGGGTTGACCATTTGAAATCAAGGGGAAATGTTGTTCACCATTTTACGATAAGGATTGTTTATTTAATTTGATGAGCAATTCTACTCGGACTTGCGTGTACCCGCCATGTGCTCTGATTATTTTGAAACGTACAAATAACAATCATTGCACATGCGTAGTAGAGTTTTCTATATTTCAACGAACAAATACTATACATTATACTATACTTTTTACATGCTTTACGTAATTTAAAAAAAAATACATATTTATCGTCCATATTGTATCTTCAATTTTTGTACATACAGATATACAAAATGAATGGTGAGGAATACAGATCATTAGAGATACCTGCTTTCAATGGCATTGGTTCAGCAAGATCGATAGCTAAACTTTTCAATATACTAGTTAACGGTGGGCAATACGAGGGAAAGACACTGGTGTCACCGAAAACATTAATTAATCTCACGACGTGCGGCGAAGAAACCTTTGATGAAATAATATTAGATACAGCAAAATGGTGCAATGGTATGATGTCACATCCGGTTCTACAAGAGGTACGTGAGAGTGAGCATTTGTTTTTTCACTGTATTGTAAGCAAAGTGATTTTTAAGGAAAGCATATGTGTACTTAGTGTTGATCTGTCAACCTACGATCACACTGAATCATGACACGGTTTCTATAGTTTGTATGCTCTCTATATATGTCCCATACGGCGGCGTTTACAACTAGACTGCGGCGCTTTACGTAGCGCACAGTCAGGCGCACAGTATGCAAAAGTTGATAACGTTAAAGCTTTATTTTCGGATAAATGTTCGTTGTAGCATGTCACATATGACGTTGTATGTGTCGTATGCCAAATGCATCAGATATCTGAGTTAGCAATTAACAAACAGCCGAACATTGCCGAATATTTATGTAGATTCGGCGGGAGTAAAGTTTTCAGCATCTTAGGGCGTCCATCAGATCGCACGCAAACAGATGCCTCTTAAATGCGGCCTAATGAATTGATCAAAATTCGATGAGAAGCATGTCGGAGGATTTGTTTCATGAACACCCACTTCTTAAGTCGTACTAAATTTATATGTAATAAAAGAGGCCCAATGATTATATCTGATTTAATCAGATTGGTTTTGACACAATTAACTCAGGCTCGCCAACGCATATATTAAAGACTTCAAATAGGTTAATTGATAATACAACTTGCATAAAAGAATACCGTAGATTTCCGCGGATATGTTTTGAATGTTTAGAAAGCAAATGTGCCGTAGTATACTATACTTATTCTGGTTTGTAATCAAATCTGCATGTCTATATATTTTATTTTTATCTCGGCGTGAACTTAAACCACTATAACTAGGACAAATAAAAGTGAGGTAAATCATTTTTTACAGATCTACGACTTAACCTTTTCACCATCATTTTTTTCGCCCATATTCTTCAGCAATTTTTCCCTATATCCCCTAAATGTGTCTTGGAATCAACTCTAATTTTGGAGTCAACAGACAAAATTTGAGTTACTTTTCAGTTTTTTACTCAAAAAAGCCAATCTTCTGAAGGGAAGTGCAGACTATAAACGGGACTATTTTGTGAATTTGTGGTGAACAGATTAACATGTTATTTTTACTTCTGTTGTGTACTTGTGTTGCAGCATATAATTTAACAGTGTACCTTAAGACAATATATACGACATAGTTTTTAAGTAATTGATTTGTTGCTTGTTGGTTCTTACAATAATTTTGGAACCACAGCTAATAAAACAAATTGTCTTACATTATATTGATTCTTATAATGATAGCGGCCATGCCATTCTACAAAAGATAATAATTAAGAGTAATATTCTCCCTGCAAGTATTAGTGATCAGTAAATTTTATTCACTAAAATCTTACTGCAACCAATAGTATAGTATAATACTATCAGTTATGGTAGGTTTAAGATAAAAATAATTAGTTCCCCTAAACATTCCGAAGAAATTAAGTAAGTTAAACTGACACCTTAATTTCCCTATAAAGTCTAAAACCACTTTTCCTGTAATTGCGTTATAGATACCAATGAATCGCCTGATAGGCCACAGTGGATTTGGTGGACAAGGGGCCTACTTCGATTTGGACAACGATCTTTCATTTGCATACACAACAACAACGTTATCACCGTCAGGTTTCGGGAGAGACAAGAGATACGTGTCTTTATTACGGGCAACGTACAATAGTATCGAGAAGTTAAAGTCTCCATAGGAAGGTATATATGTATATATATATATTAACTCATCGCCTTCTCATGCCGTTTTTACCCACATTTATTTTGGCTATCCTTGAAGGCTTTCAGCAAACAATGTGCTAATGTTTTGTTTTCGCATGGATTTGACAACTTTACGTCGTAGGATGCAATCAACGCCAAAACGTAATTATTGTAATCACTCCAGGCTACTTCTCATATTTTGAAATGGTCTGCTAAATTAGATGTCGGCATTCTGTGAGATTGAATTATTCGTTAACTGTCAAGAGTTTAACACAATTATGGTGTTTGGAACAGACAGCGAGAGGTTTGCTGCATATCATACAACATGAGAATGCTCATTTCATTTTCAAAAAACTTTTCGAGTCATTTAGTTGCACGTAAAACATGATGCGAAGAAAAATTATAAAGAATATTCTCTATCATTTTATGAATTTTCTGTGTGTAGTATTCGTTATGTGTTTCGTATATTATAATAGACAGTAGTCAAGGATATTGAAAAATGTGTCGGTCTAGCCGTCATTCAGAATGAAACACGTTGGTTTGTATCAAGCTGTGTCCACAATATAATGTGTGTACATAACATTTGGTCTGTTTGAGCTAGATTCATTACGTATTCCGGCAGCAATTGTTTCATCATGGTCATGACTATCACATACGAAACTAGATTATTATAAATTTTTATAAATTTGTAACAGTATTAGAAAACTATGAATAACAATATATGACGATTTCAGGCAATTTAACCTGGCAAAATATGTCCATACGATGAAATGCGTGCATCTTGGAAACCGATAAAAAAACAGAGATGAGAATTCGATAAATTGTTGCCCGTAATGATGTCGGTTGTCCCCATCTTACGCTAACTTTGAATGTTTTTAAGTGTGTAAAGAATTAGGCTCTAATAGTTCATGTGTGATCATAGTTTGTTACTGTTGTTTCTTATATATAGGTCATGTTCGCTGAAACAGGTACCATGGAAATATTCAAGAACACAGTATTGTTATTTATTGATTCTTGAGCTGGACGAACCATTACACATTACAAGTCGACCGATGACCGCCTTGATTGAGGTGTGATAGTTGTCTTTGGTAATTCGTTAGACAATCATTATTAACCAACTGTACTTTATAAATATTTATTTTATTTATCGAGTCTTCCATGAACACATTTATATTACAATTAATGAATCACGATAGCGTTAAGTCATTTGGAAATTGGGAGTTTTGCTCATCGCCACTAATTATCATGTATGTGCATTGCTACGTGGCGCATGTCTCGAAACTAATATAATGTTCCAGGAGAAAATATAACGCTTTATTTTATGCTGTTTTGGTGGTTTTAAATTCAGCGGTTTTGCTGTCTTCTTGCATTAAATGGTAGTGGTCGTCAGGCAACGCGTGATCGAAATTCATGCAAACAAATGAGATATAATAATTTTGCACGCGTTGTATACATTGTAATAGATCACATCGAACACGACGCGCGCGACGACCACCGCCCTTTAATTTTTCCAGACAGCTCAGCTCTTTATAGGGAACATACTGAAAATAATATAATTGCACACGTCAGACACGTAGCATTTGCTCATCTAATGAGAACGATGATAATCAGTGGGTGAGGTTCGAACCTTTGATCTTCCACACTTAGTACATTGGTCCCATTGGTCTAGATACAGTAGCTGTGTCATCCATAAAGATTCATACTAGTTTGCTTTGTACGACAACAATGGTTATACCGACAGACTAAGGTCTTGAAATAATTATTAATTTATTTAAATATAAATACTGACTGGCTAATTATTCGCAAATGGTCGCTGATAATTCGAGTGGGCCACCAGACGAGTTCCATTCCATCGTTTCTAATGAGGGGCAAAAGCAAGTCTCGTGGTTCTCCCGCTCTCGATGAGATCTCGGCGGCCATTTGTAAAAATACTTACATGAACTTAGTGTTTTTTCAACTTGAAGTGCACTTTTATAGTAGTTTTTCATTTCAATTTTCATTTTCTTCAAATCAGACTCACAGATATGGAGTATATCATTGCTGATAATTCTAGTCGCATATCTTGATTTTCCATCAACAACTCACTAAAAGAATTTGAACAGATTTGGTAACAGCTGTAATTTGTTTGTTTTTTAAATGTATTTTTAACTTATTGAATACGGTTATTTGTACACTGGCTTTAATCTTTGATAATAATTGATATGTTCGTCACTACGCTGTATTGTGTTGTTGCTAGACTTGATTAGGTGGATATTATTTTGCCTTATCATGGTTCTTTAGCTGTTTTTTGCAACAAGAGTCCAACTTGAAGTCGTGGGGTTTTTAGAGAGGGTATATACATGTGGAGAGTGTGGAATATTGAAATGCACAGTTTTCATGAAACGCTGAATTTTCCAAAATGTTGACCGATAAATAATCCCAAATGTTTGTTATTTCATACAAATTTCACAACACTCGGTCGATGCTACACATCTCCCGGTTTGTCTGTATGGTGGGGCTGTGAAACAGTTTGGGCACAAACTGTGCTTGAATTATAAATGCATCGTCCTTGAGGGCGCTGCATCCTACACATCAACATAGTCCTACGATACACAGTACATTACAATGGTAGGGTTTAGTTAACGATACAGAATATCTAACACTGTAATTTTGAATTCTGAAATCGATTGTGAGTTAGCCTGCTCATAGGCTATCGGGCTTGCAGTCGAAGAAGTGGTTTTTAGTTATGTCATGACCTGGTCATGACCTTGATCTGAATCAGTAACAGATGGGTCGTACCATTACTAATCTCAGTAGAAAAAAATGTAGTGGGGTGTCAGGGCTACATTTTGATGGGAATTTTAGTGGTGACACTGAAACAAACCCAGGTTCTGGTAATATACAAAGACCTGAATTAATAAAGAAGTCAAGTTGTTATTAAAGGTACATCAAGGTTTACTCAGATTTATGAACCCGGGTCAATGACATTTTTAAGGGAAATCACTTTATGATGAGTTGTACCCACATAGAAGACGTATTAATTTAATTGTTTGCAGATGTTCCTTGTATTATTTTAACATGAGTATTTTATAATTAAATAACTGGGACTGTGACATTCATGTCTTGTTATACTAGTATGAGTAAAGTATCTTATTTATAAGATATGTCGTAGAAAGCTGTTTACTTTGATATATATATACATGGTGTGCATCCAATATGCCGGCTTTTTTAACTCTCAATTCATGTGATTACAATGGCAGTATGGGACACTGTTGTGTTCTATTCTAATTTCAAACCAGCCAGTATATTTACTAAGAGATTAAGCTAAAACTGTGCTGCCTGCCTGCCTGCCTGCCTGCCTGCCTGTCTGTTTGTCTTTCATAAAAATCACGGATCGTGCCTCATTGTACTATTTTCGATAACAATACCGCAGTCATAATCATTATAATGATGTTTATTTACAAAAGTAGTTCAGAATCTATTGATGCATTAAATGTAAATTACACCACTTTTAATTCCGAATAGTAATGTGACGTCTTTCTTTGAGTTGACCCAACCATGCAACTAACTCCAAACCAGTCGACATGATTTTGAAAGTTACACCTGATGTGACCATTGTTGCTTGTTTTGCTCATTGCATTGATTTGTAAATTGCCAAAAATATATCGATTAAAATTATTTGATTTTTTACTTTAGTGTTCGATGCTCACAATGGGAGTCTTTGCAGTTAGTGTGTGTGTGTCTGTGTCTGTCTGTCTGTCTGTCTGTCTGTCTGTCTGTCTGTCTGTCTGTCTGTCTGTCTGTCTGTCTGTCCACGGATATCTCAAGAAGCATATGTTGGTAACGTTTTTAATGAAACCTGATGCATAGATGCTCTGGGACAATGCACAGACCTGATTAGGTTTTGGTAAAAATCCGTGTATATTAATTATCTATTTTGCATAATGATTAGTCAGTTTTTGACTTTTCACTGATATCTCACTACAATGACACTTTTTCATAGATGCAATAGGACAATGAGCAGACCTAATTGAATTTGGGTAAACATCTGTGCATATAATCACCTAATTTGCGTATTAATTAGCCAGCATTTTTACCTGTTTCTCATGTTTCAATGAAACTTGGTACGTAGATGATGCAGACAGGATAATGCGCAGACTGATTTGCATATTAAGACTTGATATGTACCATTCTACAGATTTCAATAAAACTTGTGTAGACCTGATTGTTTTTTGGTTAAAATCTACGCATATTAATGACCTAATTTGCATATTGATTAGCACATTTTATTGATTAGCATTTTCACTTGTTTTTCAAGTATCATTTAACATAAACATGAAATGAAACATGGTAGGTACATATATTCGCCGTGCTTTAAAACTTTCTCATTACATAATCGCATACATAATCTCATTCAATAATTAAGCACAAAATAAGCAAGTAACTTTTATATCAAAACATGTGAAAAAACGATGCCATGGCGTATAACTATAATTTCAAAGAAATGTGTGATAAATTGAATAAAGTAGAAAAATAAGAAATGTAACAAGAAGCTTGGAAATATAAAATACATATCATAGTTTCACACGCTCTAATTACAATCAAATAATATAAATTGACTTCGCTGGTTGTCAGCCCCTACATCTTATGACTTGCACGTCCTGGTATACACTACACACTACGCTATCGTATGGAAAGTGAAATAAACACTGTTATATAATACTCTCCCTTCAATCTTCCAGCACACGGGACTCTATCTCAGAACTGTACATACATTTTTTATAACTGTTAGGACAGCAGGAAATCGAGATTTGAATACCGACCGACTAATGTGTCACCAAAAAAGATAAGGGTCGGCATTTCGGAAGACTACATTTGGGAGATGTAGATTGCCAAAGTACTCGCCAATATTTAAAACTCAGGTTCTCTTTTCGCTCGTTCAACATCGCCTTCGCGTTACGAGATCAAAGTGGAACCGCGAGTAAGACTACACGGAGAGCAACGAGATGATTAAAGTTAGTTTTAAACATAATTGCAATTTTTTCTACCTGACACTTCTGTTAAATTGTATCTGCACTACAAAGGATGAGATGCATGTTCGTATGACATTTTTGATCAGAATTTACATTTTACACCTTGTCGACTCAACATTCAGTCTTTTTTAGTATTGTGTACAATTTGTAATACTCTTATGGTATTTCTTTGATGACCTAATCTATGCAGTTGCATACATTTTCCATAATTAATGACGTCATTCAATTAATGTACACACACTTTTTGGAATACTCAACATCAGTCTGTACATATAAATTTTCACAGAATATCAATCCACTGAAAGTTTTGTTCTGTAAATTAACATTTTCCACTAATAAAGAAAATTGACTGATTTGTCCAACATTTTCTTTTATACATAAGCTAATGTGTCTTCACTATTGAGTATCATTCTGTTATGAAGATATTGCAATTTTAATTACAACATCGACAATTTATTCATCATTTCTAAAATTTTATACTTTTATGAATATTACTGTAAAACGAAGAAAAATCAAAATATTCTGAGAAACAGTTTTACCGAAGTGTTCGTTTTGATAGAAAGCACCCGCTTTATATTCAGAAATTCTTTTATATATATACCAAACAAAAACATGGTTTCATTCGAAAAGAATTCAGAAAAAAAATAACATATTGGAGGTAAGCAAAATCAAAGATTTGAATATAAATGTAAAAAAACATGGGTCTCATCCTAAATCATCGTCTAAAATTGGTACACTATTACTGATTGTACGCCGAAATGAGGATCATGGTGTCACAGTGCCCGGGATTATTGTGCGATAAACAAAATGAAAAATGTTAGAACTAAAAATTGGACAATAATCATTTACACTAAAACAAAAGACTGGCGCCGGGGCTTCACCACCACTCTAGAGACGAAGCGCATATGTGTCATACAAGTGATAATTCTTTGATCTATATTGTCGTTCGTCAATGAAAATAATTTTTTGAGGGATATATTATATTCTAAACAACGAGACAATAAAACTGAGTTTACTCCCATCTGAATCGTTGTCACTCCACAATTGCGCTTAGTCGCGAGAGGAAATGTACAACAAGTGGTTTAAAGCAGGGGGGAGTCGTCACCTGCGCATGCGTCAGATGGACATAGCGTGTCATTGTTTACAAACAAGCATCTAGTCTACCCATGAACCTTTGCGTTTTAGCGTGTTTGGTTATAGTCGCTTGGGACTAAACTCCCGCGCGTGCGCAGGTGACAATCCTCCCGCTTTAAGAAACGGACACGGATGCTTCAATGTTGGGAGTTTTTCCTCCACGTCTCTTGTATTCGCAGATAGCGAAAACCACCGTAACCAGCTTAAAGAGGCAATTAATGATGGCCGTCACGTAACTCCAAAAAAAATGACTGCGCTCAGGTGAGCTACATGACTCGTACAAGTCGACGCAGTATAAGTTGCCCTTGTAGAGTGATAAGAAGACGATATCAAAAATGAACCCAATAATGAGTGAAATAATAAGCTGTGAAAAAAAAAGAAATCCGAGTTAATATCTCAGTGTGGGTGAAACACAATCATTACAGAATAACGGAAGAACCGTAGAACAAATGCACGGTAAAATCGTTATACGATGTGGAATGATGGCGCCCTCTTTCTGTGACGTCGAAATGACGGTTGCGAGCAGTGTCGTTTTAAAGCGACAACGTTGTTAAAGCGCGGTAGTCGTCGCGCTGGGCATGTGCGAGATATATGAGTCTCATATAAACAAAGATGGCGACTTTGACTGTTGAGCAGATCAACGAGTACGAATTTAGGGTTTCCAAGCTTTAATTGAGTAATTTTCATGTTATTGGAAGGTATCGAAGGAGTCGCCAGCGGCAATCAGTGCAAGTCGCGCCAAGGTCGAACCTCATACTTTTGATTTCCATTTGAAGAGCGCATTGGATTGTTGG